CAAGGAGTTTACTACATCATTCAACAATTTCGACTCATTGCAGTGCTCTTCCACCGACTCCTCTCTCTTTCGAGAACCAGGAGTTGGTTTTTCGCAATCACGGCAAAACCAATGAAGCAATTTAGATTTATGGAGAAATGTGTACTCCTTAGAGCTCAACTTCGAACAGCTGATACAAATGAGATCTTCGCATAGTTCACAGGTGACCATCTGGACTTCGCTCAAAGAGATCTCTTTGCAGTACTTGCAAACTTTCATCTCTATCTGGGCTGATTTGGTTTTATTTTGTGTTCTAGTTATGTGTTATGCTATGTTTTTGTGTTATGTTATGTTAAGACACATGGGCATGCTATAGGATTATCTAATAGATAACTTAAAATCATAATTTGGAGAGTTTTAGGGGAAAATATGTCAAAATTTCCTTAGTTGATGTTTTTTTATTTCTGGACTTTATGTAAGATATAATTTTTCCAGTTCATGACCATATTTCATGATGACAACCTATCATATATTGTAGGCTATTTATATTTGTGATTTACCTGCAGCAAAATAATATGGACGACTTTACTATTGCTAGCGAAATCGTCAGTACGATATTAATAAAATAAGTCAATCAACAAGTTAATTGATACGTTTATATGGACTTAATTCTACAATTCTACAGGATGACTATAGAAAAACATGAAATGAAGATGTACTACATTTTATGGGATAATTTGTTTGCACAGGAACAAGTCTGAACTGAAGCTCTTAAATAGCTTAGTATATTTATTCATGGCGTCAAAGCGATAATTTGCGAGGAAACGCGCCTCACCAAAAATTGTTGTAGAAATATTCCAAGCCTCCTGTCCTGCCGGCCTCCAAAAGGAGTTCAGGGGCAGCAGGCTGATGTCGCCGGCGTGGTGGGCGGCGAGGCGGGACAGCATGGTCCCCCAGCCCCGGGATGGGGCGGGTGTGGGTGGACAGCAGCTCCCCCAGCCCCGGGATGGGGCGGGTGTGGGTGGACAGCAGCTCTCCCAGCCCCGGGATGGGGCGGGTGTGGGTGGACAGCAGCTCCCCCAGCCCCGGGATGGGGCGGGTGTGGGTGGACAGCAGCTCCCCCAGAGACAGCTCGCTCTCCTTCAGCACGGCTGGTGACTATCCAGCGTTCATCGGGCGGCATGAGCTTACATGTTTGTGCCTGTAGAGCGGTAAATATTTATTAACAACACATTCTGAGAATTTATTAATAATATATGATTTTTATTTCTAATAAATTTACTTCCTCTGTAATTTAACTTAGTTCTGCTCCAACTATTGAGTGATATTAGAATGTTAAAGCACCTATCAAAAAGTTCAGAAATCAACTAAAGCGATTGACTGGTTTACGACAGTCGTGACATTATGGGCCAGATGGGTGGTTGAGGTGGATGGGTGGGTTTTGGGAGTCAGCGAAGGCGCGTTAGTTATTGTTAGAAAGAATGTGACTAAATTACAAACGGCTGTGATTCGTGCCGTAACAAAAAGAAAATTCTCGACAGTGTTACCACCCGTACACTGCAGCGTCTTCAATCATATTCTGGGCAGAGAAACATTCCAAAAATAGTGAAGTAAAGACGTTCCATCATCATGCTATTGCTAAACTAATGCTGTCAAAAAATCAAGATTGGTTTGTGACACAGTATTTAATCCCTTCTGATATCTTTCAAGGCAATCGATATGAGCAGGAGTATAAGTTAACATGACTAATTTTTGTTTTTACTTTCACTTCCACGCGGACAAACTTGAAACCATTAATTTTATTAAACGCATTCCAAATTTCCGCCTCAGTGGCGTGTAAGATTTTTTCCTCAAATTTGAAAAAAATATATATACGATTTCCTATGTGTCTTTACCTGTCATTCAAGATTATTTGTTCCTAGTCATTTAATTTGTTTCGTGCATAATTTTTATAAATTACTATGACAGTATTCATTTCAGATTATCCATTTTCAGTCAGAAAAGCCATTGCGCTCACCTCAAACGAAGTATATTTATTGCTGGCTGCTTCCAACCACGCCTTGATTTCCAGTACTTTTCTATTTTCTTCAATTTCAATTTTAGACGCCTGATCATTTATTTAAATTTTTTTCTCTTATTGCCATGCATTGCTCCTAACTCACTACTCCACATCTCGAGATCTCGCTCTGCTGATGCTTTCCGAGCCAGCGGCTCATCCTCCCGCCCTGAAAATCAGTCTTCAGATTGAGGATTTCATCAGCCGAGCTAAAATGTCGTCTGACACAGAGACAGAGCTTTTCACGCTTACATATACATATATATACAGATCTCCCCAGCAGGGTAACCCGTTTGGACACATATTTTGCTTTAGCTTTACGCAATACTTGAATTTGCACCTAAAGGTTGTTTAACTTCCAAGCTACCGTAATTTTATCTGCGATGGCTTGGAAGAAAAAAATTTATTACCAGAAGGAAAATGTTCCCAGGCTCTTTCTAAATGAAAGAAATGGTATAGGAATCTAGAAATGTTATTAAGGCTGTTATATATCATTATTATATAGGCTCGTGGCAATGTAAGGCTTCGCATGAATTGCAATGTAATTCAAACATACAGCAGTAAAAATATCAGATTTTGATGCGAGGGCGAGTTTACAAGTTAAGAAGGCTATAAAAATCAGTCATGTTTCCCAATTTTGTCAATGTTTACTGTTATTAAAATTATTTTACTCCTGGGAATTAATCATACGTTTTCCCTAAGAATCTGCAAATAGGTAGAACCAAAATTGCGCTTTTCGAAAATCTTATTCCATTCAATATTATAGCTTCCAAGCAAAGTTTTGTAAATCTCTTCGTTTGTGAAGACTTTGCGTAAAACTGTTGAACTTTTCGTAATTCCACATTACAAACCCGATTTCCCACGTTATTTATGCCTTCAGGTTCCGTTTACGTGACCAGGGATATTGGTATCTTCTTTCATATAATTTTTCGCAACATTTTGTACCCATTAAATTCCTATTTTCTAGAGCGAATGATTTATGATGCTACCACGCAGTTCGTACAGCAATCTGGTTTGAGCTACGGCTTATACTCCTGCAATTAGCGTCAGACTGCGTGTTAAATTATTATTCAGAAGATGCTAATATACCACAAATATTAAAAATATGTAACTAAAAAATGTCCAACTTATTTTAAAGCACGGTTCCCGCTAAATCAGTTTTGGCCAACCTTACGTGAAAGTCAAACGTGAATTTTGGTAGCGAGGATACGAAGATTTCGAGGCAACGACGCGACTGGCGCTTCCAGTCAATAACAACAAACTCTTCACATCACAAACCCTTGATGCGACTCGATTTTGGGGCCTAACGCTGACATGGTTAATAGAATAGAATATCATGCGATGTGTTCGATAATTGAATTTAACCGTGAATATTTACATATTCCGTTATTTATTCTGGTGGGCCAGTGGTTACAGTTCAGAGTAGTAAGATTGGCGCAGAAAGGCGCCAATCCCAGTTCGATCCCATATCTTTGCGCCAGTTTCTAATCAGAATCGTCGAGAAGGCCGGGCGGTTAAGCACAGTGGAATTGTAGCAGTGAGTTGCGAGTTCGAGACCGCAAAATGCTGAGGATGTTCTGCGATGTTAAGAATCGGCGACAGGCCTAATAAGCGCTGATACCGCTGTTGTATTATTATTATATTATTATTATTAATCACTCGTGAAGTCTCATTTGAATGAGCAGGTGAACCCAGGGTATATCACTTGAAAAGGGTAAAATGTAATCACCGTTAAAATTCGTTGCAAGTTACAAAAAACAATTCTCTATAAAAATATAATGTTGTCTCAACCATATCCTGGCCCGTAAACCACTGATGTGTGCTTATTATACTAATAAAACACAAAATGAAATAGACTTGACAAAATCCATATACCATATATTTGAAATAATTTTGAAAAGTATTTCATTTACAATTTCTCTGCATATCACCGCATGACCGTCAGTGATAATGTCTTGAAGAGCAGGTCATGTCTCAAGTTATCTTGCCTGGGAATTTGCGATCCACCAAGCGCACAGAAACTGAAAAGTAGAATACAATTTTTAGAATTAAAACTGCAATTTTTGTTTGAAAAAACTTCAGTATTTTCTTTCTACTTTTGAATTGATTCATTTCATCTCATCAAGTCACTTCAACCATGCAGACCTTGTAGGGAGTTTTGTAAATCTTCGAGTCAATTAATTTTTTCATATATTTATAATACATATTATAGTATTTTTCCATTTAAAAAACTTGGCAACAAATGTTGATTAAAAAATATTGCACACATATACGTTCTGTACCGGAAATTCGAAGTTGAATTGTGAATGTTAAACACGGATTAAAGCAATATCATATTTATAAATAACTCTTCTTGAACTTCTCAGCTAATGAAAAATACTTTCTTTCTGAAGTTTGAAGTTCAAAGTTTTGAGATTATTTTAAATATGAAAAAATAGACATATGGACCGTAAGTTGAGAAATGTCAATAGATCAACAGCCCTGTTGATTAGCGTCCATTAACCTTTTTTTCCTATGTTTTGGTTATTCTCACTCGTGGCTAAAATAAATACACAATTATTATCAATTGCCATAAAAATTGTCGGTTTTTGTTTAAATAATATTGGTACTTCGAAATATGATTTTTTTATGGAACTCATTTATACTAAACTAAACCATTGTGGAATTATTGACCAATCAATTTCTCATTTTTTCATATGCTTCTTTTTTTTATTTTCACCATTTCCTAAAATAATTCATGATACAAATAATTCATAAGATGGCTTACCTATGATTTTTAACAAGAAGTCTAAATAAAATGAAATTCATGCTTGAAATAATCAGTAAGAAACTGCTCTACATCACGCCGATTCACCACTTTTCTGTCTGGTCCCTTCCGTTTGGAAAGACCCGGCGATTCTAGCTTCAATATTCCCCGCTTCAAGCCTTCAATGATCAAGGGGAATATTGAACAAATGATCATATATACTGTGTTAGATTCCTGCCGTGACATACCTACTACCACGCCGCAGCATTTTACAGCCATTGAATGATGTTGTTCGTTGACAACTCGATGAAGGTGAGATCAGGTGCACTGCCAGCTGACGTCAGGTGCGCCGCGTCAGGGTCGTGGTATACCTCCCGGATTTGGGGGAGCTCCTCGAACAGCCGACGAGCGCCCGTAGCGGTGAGGCCATTTCTCGGTAAGACCACACGCAGGCTGAGATGGCAATCAATTAAAGAACTAAGTAATAATTCAATTTTACAGGAAATCTGAGGCTGAATTTTCGTAGAGGTTATCTATACAAAGTAAATATGTTTGCCTGAATGAATCACTTGAGTTGGCTACCCCAGCTTTAATTGGAGGCTAATATAGACTCCTTTTATATATACCTTTATACCTTCTATAAATTGGAAGTATAGGGAGTTCAAGGCTATTCTGCAAGCGCCAGGCACTTGGGTTCATTACCTCACAAGATATTATGTAAGAAAATATACATATTTCATTGTTTTTTAATATTGTTATTTATTCTTTGATTCAAAAAATGTTTACGAAATATTTAAAGTGCCTTTCATCAAGATATTAGTTCATTTTGAAAGAGACAAATTCTTAGTTCTCAAATGACAAGCGATGGAGTAACAGAAACTGTCATAATGGGAAAACTTTCAAATTGAGATTATTCATACGCACCGAGAATCCCTGAATTAGTACAGGATGCCGGTCATCCAGGCCAAGTCCTCGTCGCAGAGGTCTGGGAAGTGCCAGCGGGTGACGCTACAACCTCGCTGCCTCAAATTTGAGCTGACGCTGAGGGGTGTTCCTCGTACACAACAAACATCGTCTGAAGAACAGGCCGGACTCAAATGAACAAGATACATTTTCTCGGCTAATTTATTGTTCTGTTCAATATTAAAAATCTATGCGATCCGCAGTCAATCAAAGTTTCATTATTTTGATGGTAATGACGCACCCGACATAATTTTTGACCCTTGCTGTCAACAATTTACTGATGAAAAGCAAACATTCATTGCAAAAAAATTAACTCCTAACCGAGGCTACTGTTGGTTCAAACTTGCATTGAAGATGTCTACACTGATAGCTGAAAGTTCGATTCGTCTACACGAATCGAACTTATTTTTTCAATATGCAAATCATCCAGGCCCATAAATGTTAAGTCAGTTTGCGTTGTTCATTGTCTCTGCAGTGACAATGGTTAATAAAAGCCTCAGACCCCTTCATAGGGCCAATTGATAGCGATAACAAGGACGAGATTTTTTCATTAAGTTATACTTCCAGAAAATTATGTAAACTTGCAATGTAGCGTGGTTATTAACTTGAAAAAGAAATGACTTATGGTAATGCAATGCACTGGAATAGGATCCATATGTTACTGTTCATCCACCGCCGTCACTCATCGTTATACCAAGAAACGGCGAGGTCACCTTCTTTTCAAAATCAACAATTTTCAATATCAGTTACAATGAAGGGTTCAACTTACGGTTAAATATTCGAAAACTTACCTATTTTCTTTGGGAAATATACAGGCCAGTTGAAAAAGTTGCAGTCAAAACGTACACCGATCTTGAAAGTCCTCGCTCTAGTTGCCCCTGTTTGAAGTTTGGGAGCCGTGATTCTACCTTTCACATAAAATCCGTGGTAAGTTACCAAAAAAAATAATTTTTATGTTTAAAATAATTTATTTTGCCCAATTATTTGAAAGTGTTCGTAATCCTCATCAGTTGCCACTTTTCATTTAATTTTCTCTTGCTCATACGATTTTCTTGATGAAATCGAACTCAACTATATATTTAAGTATATAAAAAGTAAATGAAATATAGGTGCGCTGGTTTGTATCTTGTCGTTACAAACTTGCTTCAGGAATCAAAGGTGCAACATTAGTGATGATGACAATTCCTGGTAAAAATGCCGTTTCTTAGGAGAAACTTAAAAAATTCCAAGACTTGCAGTACATAAAACATTAATTTATTGCAATTAGAATGAATCAGAAATAATTCGAGTTAAATATGAATCGATCTTAGGATACAATCTACCTCTCTGCATTTGGGCGACGAGACGTTGCTTGCGAAAGTATTCACAGACTTGTGCAGAGTCGTACATGGTATCAAAAGAGCCGTAAATGGTATCTAGGCGGTCACTGTAAACACAGGAAAACGTGAGAGCATGTATGATCAAAAAACCTCACCTCATAAAAGGATGGGAAGAATAATTTAAATAACGTATGAAATTTTCAGAGCTTTTATGAAGTTGATATTTTCATTTCACCCCTTGACTTATGAGCATGGAACTTGAAAAATTTAACTCATTTTGAAGCTGTGAACGTTAATTGCGTTGCAACCACCAACGTGGAAAGCTTCTATTGAACACGTGACTACCCGCAGACAAAACACGAGTTCACACAAATTTCATGTTCATTTTAAAGCTCCATTCAAGTTACGATGGAAGACAAAGCGAGATCACGTCAGAGGTGACTCAAGACCTGAATGTGGAAGAAACAACTATTGTACTATTTAGCTAACTTATAAATATTATAGCTTGCGCATACATTATAATTAAATGTGTAGGATTCTATGAAAAACATCTATTTGCATATACATGTGGTAAGAGCCCGGATAAAATTTCTTTACATTGTTCATTTACTCTGCACTTATCCTTATCCCATGAGATTTTACACTCCATTAGTCCATTTATGAGTGATAAGCTTTTGAGATGCTCTGAATTTTATATTCACTTCATTAGGTAATTATAAACCAATTGGTTCCGACTATTGGATGTAGATGCGTTTGAAAGTTAAATTTTCAAGTTAAACAGGTTATCGTTAATTTTGAGCATATTGTCAATAAAAGAAAATTAAAAAGAGAAACTTGAACTGGTTCTTAGAGGTCAGAATCCTTTTGTGTCCTTTCACTTTTTGTGTTTTTTATAATTATTTTTTTATCCATTTTTCTTTCGTTGTTTTAATGATCATACATCGCATTTATACGTGAGAAAAGGATCCTCACCCCAGCCTCTTTGCAGCGACCTCCTATAATGACAGTGAAAGTTTATAAGTAGTTGGCTTTTAATCCTTATTTTCACTCGCTCATTTTGCGATTATTGTTGCGAACTTTCAAACTATTGACCAATATACCTAAATTTGTCGAGGATGAATCCGATGTCTCCACCCCACAGTCCTGCCGGCCTCCAGAAGGAGTCCAGAGGCATCAGGCTGATGTCGCCGGTGTGGTGGGCGGCGAGGCTGGACAGCAGCTCCCCCAGCTCCGGCATGGGGCGGGTGTGGGTGGACAGCACCACGAGGCGACTGGGCTTGATGTTGTTGGCCAGGCTGGCGACAGCTCGCTCTCCTTCGGCAAGGCTGGTGACTGTCCAAGGCACACCGTCTTCATATGGTGGAAGCTCATATGTCTGGAAATTACACGGAAATTTTTCATATTGTAATTTATTTGGGGAAGAGTAATTTTATATGCAATATTGGTTGTTCAGTAACATTAATGGGTTTGCAGAAGTAGAAAAGGTGAAATAATATAAAAAAGCGCTTATTCGGCGGATGAACGTTATTATTTCCCCGCTTCAAATGTAGCTTTATGAACATTTTTTTTTTGTATCGCTTGCTGTAGCCTTTCGCCTTTTAAAGTTTCGCAATTTATGTATAGAGTAATAGTTCGTGCTTCCTCGCGAATGTAAAAATAACCGCAGTTTATATTTTTGTCCTGAATCTTGCTTATATTCCGTTTCTGGAAAATCATTAGATCTATCCGTCCTTCTCGTAGATATTAGAAAAATAAAATTATATTGCATGAATCAATTGAACATAAGTTTTTTTTTTAATTAAACCAACACAAAATTATTTTCAGTATTAAACCAGCAAGATGGAAAAAAATACGAATCGATCGTGGCCCACAATTAGTGTTGAGACTCATAGGGAGGGAATTTTTATCGCCATATATGGCCATCCAGGACTATTTAATATCACAATGTATTCACTGAGTAGCACACAATGACAGTGGGGGCATAAACTCTGCATTTGAATGGGTTTTTCTAGCACTGCTTCAGGCTTGTTGCTGTGCAAAACTGGGTCAGGAAGACCCACACAGGACTGATAAGTCCTACATTATATTCTCCTGCATCAGGTCGTCAATAAACTCAATTTTGTGCGTGACGTGCGTGCCCCTGGTGCACGTGAAGCACACGAGTTCCAAGCAGTCCACGCAGAGGTAATCCAGCGCCTTCCCATAATGGAGGCACGGTACCTCTGACAGCGAGCTCGGGGGATGTGGGCGAGCGGTATTTTCTGAAGGAATCAATGCATAGTTGACCATAAGTTTATCAATTCGTCGGGAAAATTGTTTCCTACATTTAGGACAATTTTTGGTTCCAGGGAGTTTTAGTAAAGTTGTAATGCAAGAGAAGCAAAACGTGTGGCCGCAGGTCAGGCCAAGCGGCTTGTGGTTCCCAGAGTCGAATTGCTCGTTACAAACGTCGCACTCTATCGTCGCACTTGCCATCTTGTAAATAGTTTGAAAGTTTCATGTAACTATTATTGAGTGATGTCCAACAAAGATAAGTTACATTTCACACAAACCTTCTGAATGATAGTTAATGATCCAGCATCTGTTAGGCTAACACGCTTTTTTGGTCGACAACACTTCTTTCCTCCAAGAAAAGGCAACTCGTTTCAATCGAAATAACCTGGATGTTATGATGCTACTGTGCAAATAAAGTCCATTGTAGCCTTCCTGAATCTTAAATCTGGTGAGAGACGAAGACGCTTAATTAAACTCGTACCTTGTTTGAAACTTGCACGTCCACAATTACACGTGGTGCTTCATGGATGTGAATCTCATAAAAATTACTTAAACTTGCACTGTCTACAAGCAAAATTTGCTGCACTCCGTTCAGCTACAACAGCAGTAATTTTTCACCCCATAAAATTTAGACTGGAATTAAAAATTTAAGAACAATCAGTGATAACGCGGGACAAAATGGTTGTATGGGGAGCTGAAGCACTGATTTTAGACGTTATCATGCATCTTCCCACTAATTCATATTTTCAATTGATTGCAGAAGAGAGGTTTCCCCCAGCATTCTAGTATTCGTATAACAGAAAATACATATTTTAGTCATGAAGACACATATATATATATATCCCAGCTAAAATTTAGGGCAGGGAATAGAGCAGGCCGTCGCCGGCTGCAGAGCCGACGTAGAGACGCGACAGAGCAGCGATAGAGCAGAAATGTCCGCTTTAGAGACGATATCACCAGCCGCGTATCAGCGCTAATTAGCTTCTGAGTACCTGCCCAGGTGTGCTCTGTCCTGCCGTCACGCAGCCCTTACTGAGCACCGCCTGCTCAAACCTGCCCAACGCCTGCTCTGGGGCGGCTCTGGCAGAGTACGCTGCAGTTACGCGTTACCGTTTGTCAACAACGATTTAAAAAAATTTGTTCCTTCTCTCTCTGAGATCACCTAGACTTCTCTCTTGCAATGACAGGTTGTATTGACATTGGTTACTGACATTCTCATCCTATTGACTTAAGGGGACCCACTACCCTCCGGAAAAACTTTTACAGTTAATATCCGATCATCATGAAACTTCACATACATACGTAAAAAGTAAAAAAATAACATTTTGCTCCTATGAATTTTTCGAAAAAATTGATAGAAAACGTGAAATTCATAGAAAACGGCTAAAAAGGGGTACTTTAGAAAATCTATCACCTCCTACAAATATCATCCTACAACATCGAGACACGTATCATTCTATTCGTAAAGACCATACCTATAGACTCTGTGATCACTTTTCTCATTT